TGACATGGAAAGGGTGCGGACACAGAGATGGCTGAGCTGCAGTCAAGTACCCCCTTCTCTACAGGGCACACGTAGGGAACTGCACATACTTGACATAGAATAAGCTCGTTTTAACTGAGGCTTATGCCAACATATTTTACTCAGAGTGCATCACGGCCCTGTTGCTGGCAATAATTCATTCATGCACAGTAATTTGTCCTCTAGGAAAAACTTCTCACTGCTCCTGGACTGCTCAGCACATGCACCCAGGAAATCACACTCATCCACTTCAGCTCTCCTTGCTGGCTGCCACCAGACTCTCTTTTCCCCTGTCATCTGAAACACATTTGCAAAAATTATTTTCCTCACTTCTCCTTCAGATTGGGATTAAATCCTATCTGTTTCAGGGCAACGTTTCATTAAAAAAAATCTCTTCCCATCCAGAAGACCCTACAAAAAGCTTGACACTTTCCTTCTTGTCTGCTTGGATGCAGGCAAGCTGATCTGCACTTTGCCAAGTTGCTAGCAACTCATTTGGGTCCATCTTCCCTAAAAAGGAGATCCAACAGGAAAAAAAATATTTCTTTTAAAGACTGTCACTTGCAGCAGATCAGTCTCCAAGCCTCCCCCCCCCCCCCCTTTTTTTTTCTCTCATGCAAAAAAGCCACCAGTTACCAGCGGATCAGTGTGCCGCACCTCCCTGTCCCAAGGCATCCAAAAGCAAGAACAGGCAGTTCCCTTCGCTGGGTTTGCCCGACGTATCTCCCTCTGCTTTCACACTCTCTAGGAGACGCGCACAGCCCAGGGAACAGGATCTCAACTCCTGCCTTCCCCTCCTGGATGTGCTTTCAACTGTAAACAGCCTACACAGAGCCTGACGGAACTGGCAACCGTGCTCCAGGCCTGGAGGTCTCCCCATCTCCCATCTGCGCAGCTGAGGGTGGAGACAGGTTTCCACCTGACACCTTATTGATTTCGTGCGGGAAGCTCGGCAGCCTCACCCAGAGCTGAAGGCTTTTCAGCATTTAAACCCCTTCTGATATAGAAGTCGCCAACTGGAACAGCTCTTCTGTGCAGCAAGTTCCCCGTCACCCTAAATGCCGCTATAGGCTTGTTTATCCTATGCCAACTTGCAAGAGACGCTCCTGTACTGACGCCTTATTTCCTCTGTTTGCGAAAGCAGAGAGCTTGCTAATCCCCCTTTGCCCACGTCAAGAGTCCTAATGCTCTCCCCAGGCTTCCATCACAACTTGATAAGTCTGGCTCAGCCCTAGCTGTAAGCATGGCTCCCTTTGGTTGTATGGAGAATTGGGTTTGGATTTTTTGGATGACTGGGGGGATGGAGAAGGGCAAGACTCATTGTAGGCTCCTCTTAGTGCCCAACTGTATTCTGCCACACCACCACCAGGCACATCAGTGCTCCCAGGAGCATCTCCAGCAGCACAGGGAGGCGATACATAAGTAAAACATGCTTTGGGGCCAGGAAAAAGAGAAGCAGTTGCTGCACATGAGGATCACGGTGCACAAGCAAGGACCCATTGGGTCTCTGGCTGTGCCTAGCTCAGGTCTGTTAAATTATCTCCCTGGTCACAGCTTGATTTCACATCTTCCACTGCCTTTTCTCCTCTTCCCAACACCAGCTCTTTCCACCGTCCCTCCTTCCATGCCCTGTTTTGAACCCCAGCTGGTGCTTTGAGCATACCACCCCTCTCGCCTCCAAATCAGCCCTTAAAAATGCCACACGCTGCGCGAAACTGCAATAACCCCGGGCTTGTGACGACACCGAGGCCATTAAACGAACCTTCCTTGGGCAGGGAGCCTGCTCTGTCCTTCACGGGCAGCACTGCGCACTGCTACAGCCCCGTGCGTGTACTGCTTAGGCAAAAGCTTCATCAATATTTAAAGATGAAGCCAGGAAGCCCATAGCTCAAGCAGCTTTCAAGCCCCTGATCAGATCAATGTCAAACAAAAGGCTGCAGTATGAGGATGCTCCAGCAAGCGAGGCCCAGACTGCAGGCTGGCATCGTCACCTCTCCTTCCCAATGCCGATCAAGTTTCTTTCCTCCAGCCCCAGCGGGCTGGGACGGCTCCAGCACCAGCCCATCACACAGAGCTGTCCATAATGCACACCAAAAGCAGCCCCAGAGTGCAGAGTTTCCCCTTACTGGAGCATTTTCAGTTTCCAACCAACTTCAGAAATCAGTGCTGCTACAATCCCCTTCGCTTGCTTTGAATATTACTTTGCTTTAATGCCAGCCACTTATGAACAAAACATCTGAGGCTCAAACCATGGGGTCATCGGTTCCAGTATCCCGACTCAGAGCAGATGCTCCAGAGTAGCAAGAAAACCATAATGCACTTAGCTAGTTTGACACTGCATGGGAGCAGGAGATCTTATTTCCCTTAGCTATAAATGTAACCGATCACAAGATTATCCACAGCCCTTTCGCAGTTCAGCCATGCTGCTGGGCTCCCTACTCCCTGCAAGAGCAAATTCAGCCCTAGCTTCTGAGACATCCACAAACATACAGAAGTTGCCTCTTTTTAGCCATCTTGGTTCTCTTGTATCACTTAATTATTATTCAGATGCCAGAGAATGGATGGGAAAAATACCATATCAGGATAGAAACAAACAATTTTAAAAAGAGGATAATTACATCTAATGGCTAAAATCAGGAATGAAACACCTTACCTGACTCAAGCAATTTTGTGAAACTACTGTCTCCTTTTCCCTATCAATAAGATGGTGTTAAATTTATGTCCCTTCCAGGGAAAGTGGCAGGGGTAAGGGATTGGAATCCCTCAGAAATGACCTACAGAAAGAAGAGTAAGAGCATTCCTAGAGAGAAGTGTTTATTGGAAATAACAGCAAATTAAGACTTTGCAAGCAATAGCAAGCAGGGGGAATTTGCTGCTTAACACCATTACAGCTCTGGCACTCATTTCCCCCCTCTCCTTCCTGCAACCAACTGCACCAAATCACTCCCCATTTCACCTCCTCCCAACAGAAGGGCATGCAGAGCTGTTTGTCCCCACTGCATCAAATAACCAAGCACCGGTGTCCAGGAGGATGCTCACACTCACACCCTGGGCTTCAGGGTACAGAGAAGGCAGACAAATCCTCGGCAACGGTGCCAATGCTGAAAATCCATCTGCTCTCCATCCCCAGACAGAGACAGCAGGAATGGATACCAACATCTCCTCCATCCCTAAGGGAGATATATTAGCTGGTTACGTAATAAAACTAACAGCATGGCGCTTCCAAGGACTACCGCGCCAACAAAGCCCTTCCCCTTAATACCACCGGAGATTAGAGCAAATCGAAGAAGAGTGGAAACAAGGCGAGGGGCTGCGGGCAAGGTTTTGCACAGAGGAAAATGCTGCAGTCTCTCCCCTTAATGCACTCTAAATCCCATCTGATTTCCAACTCTGCTGCTAAAAAAAAAAATAAAAAAATTAAAAAAGAAAAAAAGCCCAGCCTGCATTAAAATGATATTAATGCTGGGTGAGTGAGGTAGAGTGACTCAGGAAGGGTGTGGAGGAGGAAAGCTGTTTAGGGGAAGCATCCAGAGGAATCCAGACCATGAAAGCATTTTGGAAGCAAACCAAAGGGAGCCAGGGGTGCAGATCTGCTAGAGGATGCTAACGTGCTTTTACAAATCTGATTAGTTGCTGGTTTTGAGCATCCAGGGTCAGATTCTTCCTCCGATAAACACACATCACTTATCCCCCTCATGCCAGGCTGCCGGCAAAGTGTAATACAACACAACCCTACTCTTCCCTCTCAATATCAGATGCATTCCCAGCTCTAAGGATAGGGTTTTCACTTCATTTCTACTCCCTCTTCAGGCTGGCTGACTCCACAGCAAGAGACATCAAGTCGAACACCCCGAGTAAAATTACTTTTCCCTCCACTGCCCCATTTTCGCTGCAAACTAAATATTGATGTTTCAAAATGAGCGCATTCCTTATGAGATGAGGATTTTGATGGAAGTCAAACTCGAGGTCTTACCTAGCCAGATTTCTGCTTTACATGCAAAGTGACAAGGCAAGAAGTCATCGCTCTGCCACCTGACTGCACATGCTTGTTCCCCCTTTGACAATTAGAGTCTGAATAGCCCCATCCTCCAGGCGACATTTCTTCACAACATCACATTTTGCAGCCTTTTTGAGCTTTTTTTGACATACCTCCTTCCATTTAATTGAAATAACCAGCGAGTTTCATCTCTGAACTCAGAAAGCGTGGTAAAGGCATCAGGCAGAAGTACAGTGCAACTGGAGGCAGTGGATGAGCACCAACTAGACACGTTCATACGTTCCAGTATCATCTCTTGAACCGGTTTCTATGAACTTACTGTTTTATTCACTATGAGCTTAGTTTGAATATCTGCAAAAGTCATCAGACTTGGCAGAAGAGACATCCAGATAACGGGTGAGAAACGCTACAGAGAATCCCTAGAACTAAGCAATTGACTATGGTGGCAAGATGGAAAATAAAGCAGGAGGCAAACAATCTGAGGCTGACTGTGTCATCCAAGCAGAAAAGTGATAGTTGCTCAAGAGCAGCCACCAAGCATACAAAAAAAAGTCTTGAGAAAGGAAGGAAATGAGTGGGTAATAAAACGATGTTCATACTCTCCGCCACTTCACAGTGAAGTGTTTTGGAGATGTGTTTATTATGGCACTGACTAGTTATGCTAGTTGACCAAGTCTGGTCCTCCCTGTGCTATGCACTGTACAGATACAGAGTCAGGAGCAGTCTTCCCACCCAAAACTGAGGTTAAATAGCAAGCTGGCAGAAGAAGGAAAAGAGCAGAGCCACCAGCACTATGGCAGTAAACAAGAGGTTAGTGCTACCTTTTTGTTCTGGGCTTTTAGGTCATGGCCTAGTTAGTGACTATCTGCAATGAGGCAGAACTATTCTACTAGTGAAAACTTGACATTTCAAGTGGAAGAGAGGAAAAAACCCTAGCTAAGAGCAAAGGAAAAAAAACAAAGTAAAAACTTTCTGGCAGCCTTACCATTGGCATCTTGGACTCCAGTAAGTGCTCCTACTGCTGCTGCAGTTTCGCCAGATAGCACAATTTGTCCTCCACCTTGAAGAGTGGCTTCAGCAAGCGTGGCTACTGCATGAGCAGCTGCTTCACTGTGGGCACAGGAAAGGAGAAAGAAGAATTAGGAAGACCAAAAAACCACATAACTCCACTCCAGTAGCATCCATTGTAACCAGGCATTGCATGTCAAGAGAACAAATGCAGAAAGGAGGAATCTTACTGGGCCCAGATGAAGTTATCCAGAGCAGAAAATCTGCACTGGAGGAGAAATACATGGGAAGAAGGTGCTTCCACTGGCTTTTTTCAGCTTGCAGATCTCTTAGTCAGAGCATCCTGCCTTCTTACCTTTGCATCCTGTTGCTTGGGACTTTACTAAAAGCTTTTGGACAATCTGAGTAAGTTTCTGGTAAAAAACTCATTCTTTTGGGTCTTGGTCTCTACAGATTTTAGAGCTCTACCCTTCATTACTGATCAGCCAGTTCACCTTGTACTGAAACAGGCCCAGAGGTTTACCATTACCAGGATCACATCAGTAGCTCTGTATTTACCAAAGATGGAGTATTTCTCCCCAGCCAAGTGGTTTAATAATTCTTTTTAATGAGTGATCAGTAGCTTAGCACAGTATTCTTATATTTCTTCATACGAATGAGGTCAGACCAAAGGTCCTTCTTGTGTAGCAACTGTGAGAACAGCCAGTATCAGATATTTAGGAAGCAGTGTGCATGATCCTTCCCTTCCTACACCCTCTCAGCTTCCGACGGTCGGCAGTGTATTGATTTCCTACATCAGAGACTGCATCTGGACCATCAGGTTTGATTTGTCTAATCCCCTTTGAAACCCTTTTATACTTTTTGTTTCCACAACATCCTGTAGCAATGAGTTCCACATTTAATTAGATGCTGTGTGAAGAAAAATTGCATTCTGGTAGTCTGAAAACTATTGCCTCAGTCTGGCTGAGCAGCCTTTAAGTCTGATACTGTGAGAAACAAAAAATAACTGCTCCCGTTTCATTTTCCTCATGATTTCATAGACTTCTAGTGAACTCTTTCCCAAGCTGAAAAGCTATAGTCCATTTACTGTGCAAGGGCTCTTCCTGGCTTCTGATCACTCTTGTCTTTTCCAGACTTTTTCTAATGTAAGACATCTGTTTGAGGGGGGTGACCATTTCTCACACTATTCAAGCTGTAGACACACCATGAGTTAGTCCAGGGGCCTAATCTGGGCTTGTTCTCTATGGCTTTCCCTATAATTCCTAATATTCAACTTACTGTTTTGACAGTATCTGCTCAGCAGTGACAAACTGTTCCTGGAGGATAGTCCTCTGAATGCTTTCTGAATGGTAACTGGTAGCATACAGTTCCTTATTGTGTATATACAGGAGATATTTCTTCGTATGTGTATCACTTAGCATTTGTTGATATTGTATTTTATTTGCCATTTGGTTGCCCAGTCAGAGTGCTGTGAGCATCCTTCAGCAGCTGTCCAGATTTCTCCAGACCTGTTGGATGACTATTAGCCACTTCTGGTGACCTACTGCTAGTCACAAAATTATTCCAAAGCCACCTCCTTCCTGCAGCTGAATCTCCTACCATTTTTTACCTTAATGAACTAAAAAAGTAGGTATTTTCTTTAGCTTCCCCGAGGATGCTCTTCCTTAACTGCCCTGCTCATTCTCTGGTAGACCAATTGACTCAAATATTTTCCAAGTACTTCCCACTCATTCTTTCTCTTTCCTAATTTCCTCCTTAGATGCTGTACACTTTCCAACTGTATTCACTCATGGTGTATTTTCATTTCTAAATAGCCCCTCTGTCTCAGAGTAGCTCTTAAACACTGTTAGTGAACCAGAACATTTTCTTGTTCTGCTTTCTTACTCCCTTTGGCTAATCTCTCTTCTGAACCTGCAGCTACGTGAAAGGCAGTTACACTGCAGGAAGGCCAACTACAACACAGCAAACCTGGGGTAAGCATGGATTTACTGGTGTAACCCTGTTTCCCAGACTTCACACAGCACTTAGTTGAATCAACTTTCAAGGGGAATTGAGCATTTTAATAATCTGTTACGGTTGCATCCCTGAAAATAATAATGATCTGCAGCATAAAAGCTTTTTCCAGTTACAGTGTGCTCCACAAACATTAATTGGTCCAAATCAATGAATTAATTACCCACCTCCACTTTGTCCTCTTTTACTAGAAAGGCCTAATACTTCCCATCCTCAAACCTGACAGAGGTTGCGTCATCCATCACGTCATGCTGTTGGCAGATGTACTGCTCTACGTGGGCCTATGAAAGACTCTGCACTCCGTCAGCAGCCATTGGAACAAGATTCAGAGATGGCAGCTTTCAGCTAAATTAGGCATAAAGTTTCCAGAGCTGGGATGAGCCACCAGATTTCAAGGACCAGAGCCTTGCTGAGATCTTTCTACAGGCAGGGGGAAGACTGCAGTCCTACAGCTGAAAGCTACAAGGAGCATGTTGTGGCAAAGGAAAAAGTACACCTCTTCCACATGGACAGGTGTTGGAGGACAGTCACCTAGAAAGGTCTCCAGCACTACCATGGTCAGTAGACAAAGAGGGTGACAACAAGCTGGGAAATAAAACACAAGGCCCCTCACTCCCACTGCAATGCTGCCACAGCCTTCGCATCTCTCCTGAACTACAAGCTGTTTGAACAGACTTATCACAGGGCTTTCCTGGGTATAAACACAACTGATCCTGTCTTGATGCACAGTAGAGACTAAATGATTTGTTGAAGGTTCTTCCATTCATATTTTCTAGGAAACTCTCTTTAGTTCTAACAACACTTCTTTTTATTAAGGATTCTGAATTTCTTTAGCTAATACAGGGAAAGGAACAGCTCATTGCAACCTTAAGAACTAAAAGTAGTAGCGATGGGATGAAATTAAAATCAAAGCCCCACTGATGTTCTAGTCCAGAAAAACTTCTTAAAAAAAAAAAACCATAGAAAAATCTATTGCCTGGAAATGTGCAGGATACAAATCCTGCAAGTTGGATTCTGGGAGACAGGGCTTTTTCCTGCAACTCTGTGCCTAGTTACTTTAGCTTTTCTTCTTACAGGGTCCTAAAAAGATCACTTGTTTTCAAAAGTCAATTTTACAGTGAAACTATT